TGTGAGTGTGTGAGTGTGTGCGTGTTACGAGCACATGCATGCTGACAACTGGCATGCCTCCCAAGGTTCCAGCTGTATCTTGAATGTTTCAGACGTGTTGTGGTGTTGCAGCCTGTGCAGGGATCTTGTGTGAGGACGTATGTGGAAATGCAAAGTCTCAGCAGCACATTTGCTGTTAAATAATTCAGTGTTTAAGTGTTTTTTTTTGGTGTAGAACAGCAACATACATATGGTGTAGCCGCGGGAAAAATGCAACCTAGTCTTAATCGAAACGTTGGTAAATATGTAAAAGATCTAAATAAGTCGATTTTAAAGTAAAATTCAGTATTTTTTTCCATAGTTGTCATATAATCTAATCCACTTAGTTGGAAATGATGAAAGATGGAGGTTTAATCCAAATCATTTGACTTGGCCACCTTCAGATTTGACTCACTGTCGTTCTGATTGAGGATTCCCAATGGGTCCAGCCGGGCCGGGTCGGGTTGCTCAAAATGTTTAAATTGCATTCAGGTCCGGTTACGTTTGCTGGGCTAGATTTCCATGCTGCACGTGCTTCGGGGGGAAAGAATCTAGTGGTCAGGTTTGGACACAAAAAACAGAATGCATGTCGGCGTCAGTCCGAGCTGCACCCTTCTGCAGATGTACTGTGTTTTCTCTTTACAGTTTCATTTCCAAGTATCTGGTTTACATAATTAAACTGACAGGGGACAGAGTTAGTGCTGAAATTGGTGCATTAATATCAGAGCAATAATCAACCCACATTGCACAAGAAAAGTAATTTCATTTAGTTCATTTATCTTCAGCCTTTGAAATGGAGCGATGATGCAGTTTGAGTATTTATTGTAGAAGTAATGAATTCTGCATCGCTCATCTTCGAGACTAATGAGACAACGCAGCTTTGAAAGTTGTTTCAACACTGAAATTAAAGACACTATTTAAGACTTTACTCTACAGTGACGTGAAGTACAGGAGTCGACGGGTTTAAACTGATCTTCACAGACTTTATGTCCCCAAACATCCTGAAGTTGTTTGGGGAGGGGGTGCAGCGGGACGGCACACTCGCAGCAGTTTACAGTAAACATGGACCTGTAATGGCAAAGACAAGAAAAAAACAACTCTAGTTGAAGAAAGTGAAGAGAAAAGAAATAAATGAGTTGCTAAACATGCTGGTGATGATTTAAAGAAAAACCTCAAAGTAAATAAATGTTTCCTCTCAGAAGCAACAATGGATATTTATTGAATTTGGTAATAGACTGAATTTATGTAGTGGTTTTCTAGCTTTCAAATTGCTTAAAGGCTCATTAATGTTAAAAGCATATATGAAAACTCATGGGCAAGTTAGGGTTCAGTGTCTTGCCCAAGGACACTCCAGCATGCACACTGAGGGAGTCTGGGAAAAAAACCACAACCCTCTGATTGGTGGACGTCCAGCTCTTTCTCCTGAGTGGCAACAGCCCAAATGTAAATATCAATCGCGTGACTCATTTGGAGACTGAACCCTCTAAAGTGTTTCATGAATGCTCCTGTTTGACTGATTTACTCACTTACAGCCCACCGAGAGGCCGAGACCGAACGAGCATGTTTTATATCCATGCCGTTTATGAGCGCATGTATTTAACAGCGCTTTGCTCGCACATGGCAGCGTGAGTAATGCGGCGTTCTCAGCGAGGGAATAAAACTGTCGACTTAAATGTTATCAGAGACGGCTCGAGAGTATCCACACACAAGAAACCACAATAACATGGCTGCGGCTGCTCTCAGGGCAACTTCTACACCCTTAAACAAACTGACTGGATGTCATGAATTTGTTCATGTTTTACGGGCGAGAGAACAGCAACACGCCTTCGACCCGACCTGAAAACCGATACTTTGCTGGAGGTTTAATTATCTTCCTACGATGACAACAAATGAGGAATCCACATCTAAATCGTTATGACATCATCAACTTTGCACTGAAACCAAAACCTTCCAGAAAATAAACATCACTGTTACGAGAACTTTCTAAAATGACAGAAATTTTTATTCAACATGCTCTTTTGACTTTTTCTTTGGTCCATGTTCCTTCTGCTAACACAGAGGAGGCAGGTTTTCTGAGCTGTGCTGCGGACTCCACATATCTTATTCGTAAACTTGTCCCTAACCACTGACTGTGTATGAATGTGTTAACAGCTTGCCTTCTTTAATCTATTTATATCGACTCTACAGCTGTTCTTATGTTGACGTCCACACATCACATCAAATCACACGTCGTGACTTTAAAGCAGCGTTTGCCATCAGAAAGCTCGAGAACTCTTTTCTCCCAGGAAGCTCACATCCACATCCAGCGTTCCTCTGGGACATGAAGGCAGAATTACAGAGTGCAGGTTTAAAAGCAGCCTGTGTTTAAACGAGTCCGTCTCATCTCACTCTCTCTGATGTTTGTTGCCTGCGTCCAATGTGTTTGTGGAATAAAGCTGATTTCAGTTCATGTGCTGGTGTTGCAGGCCCGTCCTTCGCCATCGCCATCCAATCAGACGACACCAGTGTTTATCCGTCGAAAACAGCCAAGATGGAGTGCTCGCTCAGCGTCTCTGGATCCTCACCAAAGACCGGTGCGACACACGAGTACAGTACACACACACTCACTCACTCACACTCACAGGTAGACACCACAGAGATGTTTGCTTTCTTACTCTACAAATCACAATCACTCATCTGTGTCTGTCTTTCTCTTTTGTTTTCTGAACTGAAATTTTTTACACACAAACATGAGTAAATGTAGCTACACTCACACTCTCTCACACACACACTCACACACACACACTCTTTGTACTCATGCTTTGTTCTATCACCTGCCAACCTGTCAGCAGCGCTGCTAATAAGAATGATGTGACTCCTGCATTTCAAATATGCTTTCTCTCACTCGTGCTTTTGTTCACACACACACACACACACACA